AATTGTGTAAAATAAAAAATAGTAAATAAAAATAAAATCATAGATTTCCGAAAAAATTCTCTAAAGAAAAGTAAATAAAGAATACATGCTTTTTCATTGGTGATCTGCGACCAAAACATTGTCCTCGGTTGCCGACGATATAAAAGACGGCATTGTCTCGTCGATAATTCTCTTTATGTATCGATGATCACTGATGGTATCGCTATCAATAATTCCATCTAAATCATGGATTGATACTGTTTTTGTTAGATATTATGTAATTATGTTAGCGATAAGATTTTTGATTTTTTTTTGGATGTGCAAAAATTGAAATAAAAATATTACGGGGATCATGTATGCAAAATTAATTGTATAATCATCATCATGAAAGTACTATGAAGATAAAATTAAGAGAAGTGCTACATGTACATAAATCTATACATAATGGTGTCCATAATTACACATGGCACTGGATCCAATCATTAATTCAAATCTCACACTTTCACATCAATAATATGATTTTGTTCATATCACATTATGTACATATATTATGTACACGTAGACTTTTCCTAAAATTAAAAGAAAAGAGTTGCATGGTCAAGATAAAATATGACAAGTATATATACCTTGGGTTGACATTCTAGAATAAACAAAAATATCGTATTAACGTAAAATGCATGATTAAATTAATTGTAATAACAAGACAATTAAAGTTATTAAAGAAAGAAAAAAGTAGTGCGTGTAATGCAAGGAATCTAAAATAATGAAACCGCGTTAACTTGAATTGCATGTGCTTTTGTCCACACATGAATTTTCTAATCAGAGGCAATCATCCACATATGCACATAGATGTAAGGAGATAATATATATATTTTTTTCATTTGTAAATCTACGTAGCTGATAAATTTTACGCGATTTCTCAATATTATAAGATTTCGTCTAGTATCCGTGAAATAACGAAAGTACTATCGATTGAAATGGGAATCTAGACATGAATTATGGTACTATATTGTTTTTCATTAGTAAATCTATGTAGATAATAAATTTCGAGCGGTGTCAGTATTATAAGATTTCATCCGATATTGCTTTTAAATTTCCGTGAATTAATGAAATTACTACCGATTAAAATGGGAACTTAGAGATGAACTATATATACTACAAATAAAAGTCGTAGTAGATAGATACGATGTCAAGATTTTTGCTTATAGTTCTAGAATTTCTACCAAATGTAGTTGCCATGATTATTTTTTATTTATTTTGACCAATTAAAAATTAATAAATGACTCCTTTTCTTTCTAAGTTTTTTTTTTCCGTAGATTTTTCAACAGAAGTCTTTAGCAAGCTTATGTAGATTAGAAAAACCACCAACGACCACAAATATAGAAGAATTTTTTCTGCTTTGACTTTGCAACAAATATCCTTTTATAGAAGAACATAGCATCACCAATAAAGTTTTCCATGGAAATATATATATGGTACAATAAATATAATTTATAGTGACAACATTTTCATAGTGAAGGTAGGGGCAGACGCAGATTTTAAAAGTTATGAGGGCACAATCGAACTTATAAAGAAGTTGGAAGAAATTTTACAATCGAAAATTTATGTCCAAAAAAATCATACCCTATGTAATTTTACATCCGAAAATTTACATGAGATATGACTTTTTCAGATGTAAAATTTCGAAAATTTTTGATATCATATTCCATATAAACTTTTTTTAAGACTCACTCTTTAACGTATTTTTAATTATTTTCGATATCTGTTTGGACTATTCAATATGTCCATAATATAGTTATTGAAATAAGTTTTGATATGATATAAGTAATTTGTAGATTCAATTAGCGTACGATCGTCAGATAATTTTTAAAATTAGCATGTTAACGAAATTCAAATTTATTGTGATTTTGCCCATGTTTGGTGGAAATTAAAATCAAATTTTTAGTAAATTTTGATAAAAGTTAAACAATTATGAATTCCATGAAATATGTTATTAAAATTAATTGTTAACATTGATTTAGATTAAAATTTAGATTTCAATCGATACCAAATACGATTATATATATAAATAAAAACCTCAACAGTTGGGGGTGGGTGGGGTGCACTTGCCCCCCAGGACCCCCTAGGTCCGCCCATGAGTGAAAGAATCATAAGACATAGATAGAACGTCAACTATAGCTAAGGTGACGGCCCCTACCCTCCCTATCCTCTCCACCCTACCGTTATCCCTACGCATGGAAACAAGATTACTTGCCAAAAGGTACAAGGGAAGAAGTTAAAGGAAAATGGATTTGGAGATCAATAAATACTCATTAATATACATAAAATGTGTGAGTATTACATTCACAAAGAAGGGTAGTTGAATTTATTCTTATTAAGAAATCCATAAATGACAAATTTAAGGTGATGAGTTGGTGACCTTACGTCATTTATTTTCATCTAATCACGATAATTTCTCTGTATATTCCCTTAAAGAAATTTCATTGATTTTGTTCCCATATCACTTAACTTGAATTACACTCAACTTAAGTTGCAACAAAGTGTGTACGCACATGCATCCTTCAACTCCACTAAAATGTTGGATTAAGACGTAAATAAGTATTACCTATCAACGATTTCCAACAAACACTTTCTTTTACACTAACAACTTAATTTGATTAAAGAACATGTCTAAATCCATTTGATTGTTGCAGCTACCAAATTTAGGACCCTTTATACTGATTAGAATCTATAGAGCACATCACTTTTGTTATCACAATATTATCATAATTGGTACACTTAATCTTGGTGTAGACCATGCAACTATTATAGCTAAAAAAGGTGAGGGTCCTAACGCCATGCCCATGAATCTATCAACCTAAAGAGGGAAATGACCAACTTTTAGGAAGCATCACCATAAATGATAAGGAAGTACCCATTTCATTTGATTCGTTGTAATTAATTAAAGTTTTTCTACTTAAAAGACATAATTTACTCACTCACATATATTTAAAATTAATCTAGATTTAAAAATAAGTTATAATCGTTTTTTTTTTTCAACAAAAAATGACTTTTTAATATTCAGATAAGCAATTTTTGTTCGACTTGTGCAATGAAATGAAAAGTTGATAATCAAAATACTTTCGCATTAAAATTCTAGACCAATTTGTTACTGTCGACACAAATACATTGACGTCATGCAGTCAGTGCCTTTCCAACAAAGTATTGAATGAAATAACAAATGTCTATTACATGAAAGACCATCGTGAGCATCAGGGTCCTAATGTTCATTCGATTGCAAAGTTAACTTTAGTCGTCTTTCTGAATTGTCATAGATAATAACAAATGTCGAAGAACGGTGCAATTTTTTCTTAAATGGGAGGGCATGAAGGACATTCTCTTTTCAGAATTTCTGTTAAATTTGAAGGGAATTAAGCGTCTGTTTGATTGTAAGAGTGAAATTTGGGTGGAAAGAAAATGAATTTCAGATAATTGAAGTGCTCAAAATAATTTTTTTGGGAATTGTCAATTAATTGTGTTTGATTGATATAATTTTCCACCTTAAAAATGTTGAAATTTTGAATCTTTTGGTGTTTGATTGGCTTTTTTTTTATGAAAATTGTCTATTAAAGGAAAAAAATTTTCACAATTGTTCATGAAATTTGTTTCCGCTGCCAAAAAAAAAAAAAAACAACCTGGAGCCATTTCCCACCCAATTGCCAAGAAAACCCACCGTGTGAGCACCAAGCAAAAATATCAAATGCCAAGAAAATATGGTGAATCAAAGAAGACATTTGTGGAAGATGGAATTTGTTTTCCAATTTCTATGGAAAATGTTGATGAATCAAACATGGCGTAAAAACAAATTCCAAGATGAACTAATTTTGACCACCTAGAGCTAATTTTCCCTCAATTATAGGTGAAATCAAAAACCCATTCTCACACACAATAACCGGTTACCGGTCAACGTCCCGCGTCAGGAAATGTCAACTATATTGCCGTCCACAGTGTAGTCTGTCCTCAGCATTAAGTGCCAACGGCCCCCCACCGTTTAAATTTCCGTACCAACTGTCCACCGGCACTTCGCCGGTCACTCTCACCCACCTTCCTCCCCCCTGCGTGGAAAATTTATAAAAAAAATTTTTAGTCGTTAAAATTTTTTTTTTCTTTTTTTTTTTAAGACTTAGGTATACAAACTTCGTCATACTAATCCTGAGAAGTTGAGACTTTCTCCCTTGATTCGTAACCCGGATAAATCAGATGTGGTCATAACTTAATACACAATTGGACCAGACATTCGAAAAGCGATTCTCTCCCCCGTAGAGTAATTCAGGAGTCATTTTTAAGAATACTCAAGTAGGATTGGGGCATGTTTGGGATGGTTTCTATTTCTTTTTTGCGTCTATTTATTGTCAATTATTTTAGGCAATCATCTTGCATTAATTTTCTTTGAAAAAATTTCTAACAAGACATAATACATTCAAAAAATTATCAAAATTCTTCAAAATAATTTTTAACTTTTCAAAAACAATGTCATATAGACCCTTAAATTTTGCAATAAACTCAGGTTTAGTAACTAAATACACAATCCAAAACAAATTAAAAATCACTTACTATTGGATATTAAGAACTAATAATGTATAATTCGTGCTTGGAACTTTTCATTTTTCAACTTTTTTTCTCAAGTTACTTATAGAAGTAGAAACAGAAAATTAAAAATTTTCTGTCGCAACTTAGACTTTAAGAGATAATTTATGATATAATAATTTAATCTTCTACGAATTTAAGATATAATAATTTTATCAGTCTTAATTTCTAAATAGTTCGATCCACCTTATGAGATGAGCCATAAAAGAATAAAAAGGGTAAGAGAATTATTAAAACAAAAAAAAGTCTGTGGGGCCAAGCTGCTGTCGAAAAACCACCCAGAAAAGCACCTTAAGAAAGTCTCTTCAGAAATCTCTTCACACTTCAAATAGAGAGAACGAAACAAAAGCTCTCTCTTAAGAGCAGATGGAAAACTTGTGCCTGTAATCAAATTCATGGAGAGGAAAGAGGAGAGTTCAACTGAAAACACGGCACTTTCTGATCAGAATAATCAGATGATTCCATCAAATAGCTTTAGCTTTTCCATGGCAAATAGCATATTTGACATCCCATGTGAGGCTGATCAGAAGGGTTCTTTAGGCTTCATAGACATGTTGAATGCTCAAGATTTTGCTGGCCCTTCTATATTTGATTTGCTACAAACACCGCCGCTGATTCCACTACAGTCACAGTTACAGCCACAGCCTCTTCTGTCACCGCCGTCAACTGTCCCGGAGTCGTCTGAGGTGGTCGACACTCCGGCCAGCCCAAATTCTTCGTCTATGTCTTCGTCCTCAAATGAAGCTGCTAATGATAAACAGACGAAAACTGTGGATGAAGAACAAAATGACCAAGAAAAGACCAAAAAACAGTGAGCTCTTTTCTTTTTCGTTTTTCTATTTAATGTGTACATAGATAAAGGTCCAATCTTTAGATCTTCTTTGGTTCTTTCTAAGGATTGCATCAAGGCTAAGACAAATATTGGCTTAAGCTTCTAGAAGAGGTGGTTCAAAATAGGATTAAAAGGGTTTTTTGTTGTGCACGTTCTGATTACTGTAAATACAATGGATTTGATGATTCTCATATTCTGTCATTTATATTCCTGTTTACGAGAAAAATAAGAATTAACATTTTTATTGGTAACTTCAGGTTGAAACCCAAAAAGAAGAACCAAAAAAGGCAAAGAGAACCGAGATTTGCGTTCATGACAAAGAGTGAAATTGATAATTTGGATGATGGGTATAGATGGAGAAAGTACGGCCAAAAGGCAGTGAAAAACAGCCCCTTTCCAAGGTATATTCACACACGCGTATATACACGCTTATAGATACATTCTTGTGTATGTAATTATCTTTTTACTTTTTCACTTATGATGATAGTTTTGCTTATTTTGATAAGGGAGTGAAAAGTGACATCAAGATAATGATTATGAGTAGATTTTGCTAAAAAATAATTTGTGGGCTTATACAATTTTTTGTGCAGGAGCTATTATCGCTGCACTAGTACAGCTTGTGGTGTGAAGAAAAGAGTTGAAAGATCATCTGAGGATCCGTCCATAGTTGTCACAACCTATGAAGGTACCCACACACACCCGTGTCCGATAACGCCTCGTGGAAGCTTCGGAATAATGCCAGGAAACACTACTTTTGGTGGAGGTGGAAGCAGCAGTGGTGGGGGCGGTGATAGGGGTAGAGGTGGTTCTTTTTTTGCCATCCCTCAAGTGATTCATTATCAAAACCAACAGCATCAAATTCAGCAGCAACCCTATTTCCATAATTTGACACCACCTTTGAGTTTCACCAATACTAGTCCCTTAGTTCCTCGACCACATCAAGAAAGACCTTTTTACCCCTCTGCCACTCCTTTAGCCAGAGACCATGGACTTCTTGAAGATATGCTACCTTCACAAATTCTAAAGGAGACAAAAGAGGAGTAAAAGGGAAATTCACCTTACAGTGATTGGTATGTTATTTTTCCCACTGACAAATGAGGTTGGGGTTTTCTTTAGACATAAACCCACTTCAAATTCACTATAGAAACTCTATTATTTGCATGTAAATTACTAGCTTTCAGCTCATTGAGGTACGAGTTTGATTAAATTAATTTTCTTTCTTATTTCTTGTACTTAATTAAATTCTACTAATAGTTAAGACTGCTTAATTTTCTCATTTTCTTTTTGTTCCTGTTTTGAGTGCACTCATGCATGTGTATTATTGACATATACGTATCCGATCAGGGATTTTATTTTTTTTTAGAATATTTAGGGTTAGGGTTTCTTTACGAGAATTTAAACCTTCCTTTTGAATGTGATAACTCAGCTCCCGGGAGGCAGATGCCGAAAGCCTCCTGGAATTGGAGGAAAAAAGAGATGACCCTATTCTGATAACTAGTATGCAACGAGCATACTAATTGGTACTAGAATCAACTGATGCAAAGAGTATTGCTTCAACATGAGCGTGGACTTATGTCAAAGTTATTCTCAAAGTACAGTCTAAAATAATAGTACTCGTGATGGATTCTCGAGCATGGTCTTAGGCGATAAAGAGTTTAATTGCACATCTCCTAGTAGCAAAGCTTTTGGGAGAACTTGTTGTCTTATTGTTCTTGACATGACAACTCTTACAATTTTTTATAAATTGTGAAATGATAATGAGCGTTTTTGAAATTCTTGTGCACGCGCCATTGAAAATTGGTTCCATTTTAGAAGATCAGTCTTAATAAGACTAGCATAAACCCTTGATTCATATTTTGGTATTTAACATGTGTGATTTATTTCTTAACATGTCCGTATGATAGTGATTCGTTTGAGAATACTAATCATTTGAGTCTTTGTGGGTTCGAACTGCTCATTTGAGTTTAATAGGCTTTGATATTAACATTTAATTGATGTAAAATTTATCCCTTAAGATTGAGAAGAGTTACATGGAAGAAGACTCAATGTACATCAATTGACAGTAATTGCCTTTTCTACGATTAAGATATAGCATATTTGAATTTAAGACGTATCTCTACCTAGTTTTCGAAGTTCTATACTATAATTTTTATATATATAATTGTTAAGGGATAGAATCCCATATCGAATAAAGATGAAAACATAAACCAACTTATAAAGGATTTGGTTACTCCTCTTAATAAGATTGATCTTTTAAGATGGAACCCCAAATCCTAACATGGTATTAGAGTTCGTTAAACTCTAACGAGCAATTCGATCCGATTAAAATTAAAATAATGAGTACACGAATTTCAAGATTAGTATGCTCAAACGAGTCACCATCTTCCTGTAGCATGTTAAGGGATAAAATCACACATCGAATAAAGATGAAAATATAAACCAACTTATAAAGGATTGTGTTACTCATTTTAATAAGATTGACCTTTTAACAAGGACCCAAAATCCTAACAATAATTTTGAAAATGTTTTAACAGGAATAATTTCTATTTGTGGCTGAACAAGATGTCATTCCAACATTTTTTACCTTTCCCATCCTTCCAAAATTACACACCATAGGTGCATTGTATCTCGACTCCTTGACAAGAAAGAATTAGCTAGTTTTGGGCTTTTTTTAAAAATTATAATTAGAAGGTATACGTTTAGACACGACCCTACCATTATTAAAATCGAAACATAACAATACATAACCTCGATTCCAATTTTATTTTTTTTCACTACTTTTCAAGAATGGGTGATAGATAAATTTATAATATTTGTGAATCCTACAAAATGTGTTGTTAAATTATAATTTGACTTTTAAAAAAAAGTAATAAAAAAAAATGAAACACAAACAGAGCCATCATTTTGCAACGTTTGTGGTATGTTGCAAAATAGTTTTGTACTTTGCGCATTTTTGACCAAGTTTATTGTGCATTGTTATAATCTCGTCATTTATCAACCTTCATTGCCGTTGTTAAAAGTTCATATACTTCATAGCGTTAACAACAGGCACATCACACAAGAAAAATCAAAGTATTCTTTGCTTTATTTTGAGAATTCGTACAAAAAAATTGATTAATTTTGACAAAATTATTGTTCTTGACCTCGTAAATGTAGAGATCATGCATTATCTACAGTGGTAATTGGGGACCAACCTAACATATATACATAAGTTAACGTTAGGTTTTCTATTCCCTTTCCCTTTGTGAATGAATGTCATTTCCATGTCAGGAAACAACATGCGAATGCTAGGAAATTGTCGATACTAAAATTAATTATCTTGCCTGTACATCATTTCCATCAGTGCTAGTCTATGCTCGAGCTTGATACAAAGGACGTAAAATATGTTCAAGTATTGGAAATATTTGAGATGCCAGCCATTAAAAAGGAATCAGAATGAACATATTTTTTCCTAACTGTAAAGGGATGTGAATAATTTCGAGCTTTGTTTTCCAGCAAAGAAAAATATTCATAAAGCTGGTCATGAAAATTTTCAATTCTATTTTAGGCTCGATACATCGCATTTTCGCGTCGATTATATTTCTCATCTATATACGATCAATGACATCAATACAGGTGGGAAAAATAAAATTAGGAATAAAGTAATGCCTTTTGTGTTCCATTTAGTCAAAAGTTGATGCCTCCATTGTGACTTAACAGGGAAAAAAATACAAAGAAAAAGATACTCAAATAATTAACATAAAGATTTGCAGATTTTCTTCAAGAACCGTTCAACTTCTAAAGCCAAAATACGGGGATAAATACATTCTAATGGGGAACATACAGAATTTTCTTGACAGACCATATATTATATAGGCTCAAGCATGAAAATGAATTACTGGATAAAGGCTTGTTTACGATTTATATTATGGGATGATATGATGTGTAATTGTTATTTCGTGCAGTTTTGATAACATGTAATTCAAATTTCTGGGGATTATGTCACTTTTTTGCTAGATTTTCAATAGAGATTTGTCTCCCACTATTAGCCATTCTAGAACAAAAAGAATTGTCAATATCTGTTAAAAGGGATAAATACATAACGTAAAGGGTACTCAATTACTCCCCTTAATAAATTAATATTTTAAGTTAAAACTACGAGTCTTGATACCATAATTCATTTATATGTACCTCCAACGTTTGACACTGGTGTAATTATAGGTGCGCAACCTTCAGAAGACCGATTATGAGTCCTTGGCCTATTTAAATATGCTAATATGAATTCCCATGAGACTAGAATCATCGTTGTGGACATTAAAATTGCAAACAATTTTCAATTGAACAAAAGATATGTGTTGAGTGATTTGATGGTTTTTCCCTCCAACCGTAAATCACATGAAATTCAAGCGCAATTTTAACGTCTATGTTGATGATAGTTTGGTCACATGGGATACAAATTGCAAATTTAAAAGCTTGTTTGGCATAAACTTTTTCAAGTGAAAAATAATTTTAAGGGATAATTGCAGCAAAAGCCACAAACTTTTGAAATATTAGCAGATTTTTCCCAAACATTTGATTTGTTGCAGCCGTCACCCCAAACATTTTCAAATGTTGCAAGTGAAGCTCCTTTGGACAGTTTCCATCCATAATTCTGTTAGTTGGCCAAAATTTTAATTTTGATCAAATATTTTAAAAATGAACAAAAGAGCAACTTTTCATTTATCACATTAAATAATTAAATAAAAAAAATACACACATGCGCACAATTGTCTTCTTCCTCTCAACCCACCCCCACCCTACCTCAAACCTAAAACCCCCGGAACAAAATCGGGCTGCTTCAAGTTATCACTCTTGACAAATAGGATTTTGAGTGGTTCTATTAAAGATGTCTTTTGAACTCATTCGATCTTGGATTATTGAGGGTCGAGCTTCTTGAAATTGGTATTTCTACCTTAACTAAACACCCCAACACTTTTAAGTATTTGTACGAAGGTTTATAACATTTCCATAACTCATAAAGAGTTTCGTTCCTACTTTTGTGTGGTAATATATTTAGAATGTGGTTAGCTGTGAGAATTGTTTCCTCCCACAAATTTTGGGGTAAACCAGAACTTCGACTGAGGTGAATAAGGAGTTGTAGTTTGATGAATAATCCCAAAATCTAAACAAAACTCTTCTAACGGTGCTCCATATTTCCCACATCTGTCACTACGAACAACTTTTATTTGTTTGCTTAGTTAATTCTTAACATCATTCTTGTATTGTTTAAATGCTTCTAAGGTCTCGTCTTTGCTTATTAGCAAATAGATATAACAGTACCTTGTGCACTAATCTATAAAAGTAATAAAATACTTTTTACATCCTCTAGTTCGCACAAACTTTAAATCACAAATATCAATGCAAATTAGTTTTAGAGGATTCGAGTTCCTTTCAACTAAATGAAACAGCGTTTTGGCTAATTTAGACGCTACATATTTTTCACACCGATAATTTTGATCAAATGAACTTGAAATCAATAATTCTAAACTTACTAATTTACATAAAGTATTAACATTTACATGTTCTAACCTATAATGCTATAAGTTAGAAAATTCAATCAAGTTAGTAGAAGATTTATTTTTATTAATATCAAAATTACGGAGTACAGGTATTACTTTCATTTTGAATAGCTCATTGGCTAAGTATCTTTTTTTCCCACAAACAAGGCATTTTTTGTGAGTACAAACTTGCCAGACTCAAATACTAGCCTAAACCCATTTTTGTTTAACAAAGCTCCAAATACCAAGTTTTTGTGAATATTGGGAACATACATCACCTCGATAAGTGTTACTTCTTTCCCTGATGTCATCTTCAACACTACTTTACCTAGACCAACAACTTTTGATGTTACCGAGTTGCCTATGAATAGTTGTAGTCCATTGATAGGAGTGTAAAATGAAAACATCTCCTTATCAGCACAAATGTGACTAGTAGAGCATCAATGAACCATTCTCTCGGATTGTCCACCATGTTGGCTTCAAATACAATAGATGAGAGCATTAGTTCAGACACACCGTTAGACAATA